ACCGCAGACAACCGCAGACAACCGCAGACAACCGCAGACAACCGCAGACAACCGCAAACAACCGCAGACAACGCAACAGCCAGAGCCTCTAACGGAGCATGGAGGTTCACAAAGTGTTGGGCCTGCCACGAATTCTGCACATGGAGGTTCACAAAGTGCGGCGCCTGCCACGAATTCTGCACATGGAGGTTCACAAAGTGCTGCGCCTGCCACGAATTCTGCACATGGAGGTTCACAAAGTGCTGCGCCTGCCACGAATTCTGCACATGGAGGTTCACAAAGTGCGGCGCCTGCCACGAATTCTGCACGTCAAGAAACAAGTGAATACTCTAATCACAATGGAGGGACAGACCGGCGACCACCGCAGACAACCGCAGACAACCGCAGACAACGCAACAGCCAGAGTCTCTAACGGAGCATGGAGGTTCACAAAGTGCTGCGCCTGCTACGAATTCTGCACGTCAAGAAACAAGTGAATACTCTAATCAAAATGGAGGGACGGACCGGCGACCACCGCAGACAACCGCAGACAACCGCAGACAACGCAACAGCCAGAGCCTCTAACGGAGCATGGAGGTTCACAAAGTGCTGCGCCTGCCACGAATTCTGCACATGGAGGCTCACAAAGTGCTGCGCCTGCCACGAATTCTGCACGTCAAGAAACAAGTGAATACTCTAATCACAATGGAGGGACGGACCGGCGACCACCACAGACAACCGCAGACAACGCAACAGCCAGAGCCTCTAACGGAGCATGGAGGTTCACAAAGTGCTGCGCCTGCCACGAATTCTGCACATGGAGGTTCACAAAGTGCTGCGCCTGCCACGAATTCTTCACATGGAGGTTCACAAAGTGCTGCGCCTGCCAAGAATTCTGCACGTCAAGAAACAAGCGCATACTCTAATCACAATGGAGGGACAGACCGGCGACCACCGCAGACAACCGCAGACAACCGCAAACAACGCAACAGCCAGAGCCTCTAACGGAGCATGGAGGTTCACAAAG